GAGCAGCAGTAGTTGGATGAGCTGAAGAGCTGAAGCACATTGAGCCCCTGCACTGCACAGTCACTAAGCCTGACAAGAATCAAAGTGGGTTGCAGTTAGGGTGGGGGCCAGAGCCCTGGGGACACCACAGGGCTTCTTGGTGTCCCCTCTGCTGTCCTGGACAGAAAAAAGGACCTGAGCAAGATTAAGAGCCTTCTGGACATTGTGACAGACCCTCCAGGTGGTGAACTTTGCCCACAGCCCAAGGATGGTCCCCAAGGGCATGGGTGGTCCAGCCGCGGTTGGGGCACTTGGTGTGTTGTGGGCTTAGCAAAGGCACCAGGCAGCTCTTTGGGCCCTGGCCAGAGGCCTCCCAAGGTCCACTCTAGTGTGTGCTGGGGCTTTGAGCCCAGGCTGCATCTTGGCCAATGCCTGGCCTTTGCCCTACTGGCTGCTGCTGTGGCCCTCATGCTGGGCCATCACAGCCAAGCCTCATCCAGCCAGTAGCTGAGGGACCAGCTTGCAGTGGGCTGACCACCAGCTGGCCGTGATGGACTTGAGCCTGACCTGGAGTTCTGCCCCTGACTTACCGGTGAGTGTAGGCAGGAAGGACTGCATTTCATTTACCCCATTTGCAGCCCATATGTGCTGTCATGAGAATGAAATAAGACAGTGCTGGTGAGACGCAGGTGGAAGTCAGGGCCACCGGCCACGGGCGGCTGTGGCTCAGAACTGCACGAGCATTGGCCTATACCTCCCTCTCAACCTCAACTCAGGCTGTCCCCGCACCCTGTCAGAAGGGTCTATTTTCTTGCATGGATGGAATGCCAGTCACTATTGGGTGGCCTTCTTGGGTAGATGCTCCATTAGGGTTGTAGGACTGAGCGGGACAAGGACTGGCCTAGATGCAACTGAGGCCTTCCCAGCCTTGTCAAGGGCCTGGCCACTGTCCCTTCTCTTGACCCATTGCCTCACTCTGCCAACCAGGAACGGGCAGCTCCTGGGGGTGAGGGCTGCCTGCCTAGACTCTGGGTCTGGGAACAGCTGGTCTGCTAATGGGAGCTCCTGCAGAGGCTCCTGAGGGCCAAGGCCCCGTGGCAGTAGCCAGGTTCCCAGACCCGAGCCTGAGAGCTGCCGTGGCTCCCAGCCCTCCAGCACGGAGCTCAGCCCAAGTCCCTTCTCTCTGCAGGTCCCCTGAAGACCTTGCCAAAGTGTGAGATCGCCCTGGAGAAACTCAAGAATAACATGGCAGGTGAGTGGGATGCTGGGCACCCCTGGGGGAACTGGGACTCCCCCAAGAGCTCCCGGGAGCACTGCTGGGAGGGGCCTGCAAGGTCAGGGTGGTTTGGTGGGAGTTGGGCCTGACTTGGGACCCTGCCCACCAGGCTTTTTCCAGGTCAGGTCTGTGGTCCTGGGTGGGAAAGTGGGAGAAGCCACCCTCTGTCTGCGGCTCCTGTAGATGCCTCTGCCACCAGGCCCAGAGTGGGGTGGGGAGTTACACCAGGATCTGCCAACATTATCTCCACAAGGGTGGAGGCTATGAGAGAGGTCTTGGGAATCTGGCTGTGAGTGAGGATGGGCCTGGGGTGGGAAGGTCTCCTCCATGGGGAACCCTCAGATCCCAGGCTACTGACCTTGCCCATCCTGCCTCTGGCCCACTCCCCCACTGCCCCCAGTGCCACCGACCAAACAGCAGTACGTATGCCAGCCGCTCCTGGATGCTGTCCTGGCTGACATCTGCTCACCCATCTTCAGCCGTTTCCTGTACCACACATTTGTTGCAGCCATGACCGCCATCCACAGCCCGCCCATCACATACATCCAGCTGGGCTGGGCTGAGCGGAGGACGGGCAGCCCTGGGCCATGGGTGCCTGGTGTGGTCACCATGCTTCCTCCCCAGGGCCCCATTGTGTGCACGTGGAAAGGCAGGCTTGAAGAGAACAAGTGGCAGAGCATCCCCAGCACGCTCCTGGCAAGGTGGCCAGGCTGGAACCCAAGTTCCGGGTAAACCTGAATCCTCTCACTGCAGCAACAATGGCACTGTCCACCCGATCTGCAAGCCAGGCGACTGTCCAGGAGGGCCACAACAAGCCCCTACTGCAGCCCCAGGGCTCTGCCGTCCAAGCTGGAGGGCACAGTGCCCAGAAGCCACCCTGCAGGCTGTCTGCTCTGTCCTTAGATACACTGGGCTCAGAACAGCCTGGCCATGCCTCTGGCCATGCTTCTGCTCCCACCTCCAGAGCCCACGCACCCTCACCTCCCTAACAGATGCAGCTCTGCTTGCCTGGGGCCCTAGGGAGGTGGGCAGCAGGCCATCTGGGCACCCGTCGATGCAGGGCACTCTAGGCTTCAGGTTTGGAATCCAAGAGTCAGATTCCCAGGCTTTGCCACAAGCCTCACCAGAACCTTCCGGGGTGTGAAGAGTCGTGTTCTGGAGCAGGGCTGTGAGGCAGGGCAGGCCAGGGCTTGTCCAGGTTACAGGTACAAGCTTCTGTGTTGCAGGCGACAAGGATCTCCTGAGTGTGCCACCGCTGGAGTGCAGTGTGCCTGCCCACTACCCTGCCCGGAGCCCACTGTGGATTGGCCAACAGTGGCAGTACAATAGGCAGACCCAGAGGAGCTGTCTGGGGGCCCAGGGCAGGCAGGGGCATTCTGAAAAGCAGGCTTCCAGTGCAGCAGGGACTGTGTGTGTGTGCTCTGGCCCCTCCCCAGCTCAGGCCCCACCATTCGCAGATAGGAGCAGGTTGTCCTGTGGTCACCTGAGGCGGGGTGGGGGCTGGGGTCTCTGCTCTTTTCTGTGTCCCTTTGCCCCTTCATCTCATGTCAGGTCAGCTCTCCAGGGTGGCTTTGTTCAGTGGGTGAGGGGTGAGTAAGCCTATGGCTCAAGGACAGACCCCACTCTTCCCACAGGCCACTAGGGAGCTCAGCGGGCTGAGAGGTCCCACCCGTAGCTTGGGTGCACAGGGCCCGGTCTGGGTGATAATGGCTCCAGAGAGAGCCACACTGATGGGTCAGTCTCCCTAAGCCCAGAGCAGGCACACAGCAGAGGCAGGGCTGGGTCCCCAAGGTTGTCAGAGGCAAAGCTCCGGGCTCCAGACCCTGTTCACATTTGGCTCTTCACTGGCAATGAGGCTCTGGGTGGACAGCCCGATGGCCGGGTGGGCAGCAGGTAGGGCAAAACCCCCTTGTGCTTCGGCCAATCCTGGGGCTGCCCCTTCCCAGAGCACTGCCAAGTGTGCAGGGCATGGGTGAAGCACCAGCTGCCTCAGGCTCATGCCTGCTGCTGTGTTGCAAACACCAACCCCTTCCTCCGGTGGGGTCACCATGGTGTGACCTCCAGGCTGCCGCAGCTCCCAAACACTAGGTCACTGCCTTGCTCAACCCCTGGGCCCAGAGCAGCCGCCAGGCCTGCCGCTCGGCTGCCTAGCCAGGACTGCAGGGATGACCCGCAGCATCTTCGGGGCCAAGGACACGCGCCTCCTGTGAGACACTTATAAGTGTTGGCTTCCTTAGAGAGCCTGGGGTTAGGTTAGCTGTCCTGCTTTTCTCCTCTGTCTTGGGGATCTGCTAGACGAAATCCCACATTTGTACAGAACTGGGACAGGCGCAGTGGAACGGACTGCTTGTGGGGTGTTGGCCATCTTCTTAAAGAAGGCCCTCCATGGTGGATCACAAGGGCAGGAGTTCAAGACCAGCCTGACCAACTTGGTGAGACCTTGTCTCTACTAAAAATATTAAAATTAGCCAGGCATGGTTGCAGGTGCCTATAATCCTAGCTACTCAAGAGGCTGAGGCAGGACAATCACTTGAACCTGGGAGGTGGAGGTTGTAGTGAGTGAGATCGCACCATTGCACTCCAGCCTGGGCAACAGAAGGAGACTTGGTCTCAAAAAAAAAAAAAAAAAAAAAAAAAAGGGCCCTCCATGTGGCTTCCTCCAGGAAGCCAGACACGGCCCCCCAGCCACAATTCGTGGGCTGCTGTCACTGCAGCCTGTCCAGGGTCTGGGTCCGTCTCAGCAGCATGAGGGCGCACTCAGGGTGTTGCTAGAGCGAGTTGTGTGTGCCATGTCCCCACTATGAAGGATGAAGAGCGAGGCCCTCAGGACCCGCATCCTCAGACCACCACACACTGCGCCACCCAGAGAGGGTGGGTGGGGCCATGCAGTAAGCGCCTCCTTGTGTTGCCAGCCACTGTGGGCACTGGCCAACAGCCCTCTGGTGACGAGAGGTCCCCCTTTGCACAATGCACAATGCACCCAATGCACAATGCCCTGTCCTCTGTGATTGTTGTAATAAACACTATTTCTGGGTTTGTCAAGAGTTATCACTGTGTCCCCCTCATGAACCTGGACCCACTGTCCTGTCAGGACGTGGTCAGCCTTGGGGCCGGCATTGTCTAGTCTGGCCCTCGACATCCCAGATCTTTGCTGTCCTTGCCACACACCATCCTGTTCCTTGGCCTGGTTCATCCCCCAGCTTCCTGGCAAAGTTCCTGCTCCCTGAAGCAGGAAGAGGCTGAGATGGATGCCAAGGAAGTAGAGTGGTGGGCCTGGGAAGATGGCACTGCCAGGTGAGGGTGGGCACTGAGCTGTCCACCCCACCCCTGACTGGATGTGGCTGTGCTGTAGTGGGAGGGATGGCACAGGTGTGGCCACGGCACTCTGGAGATAGCCCTTCAAGGAGGAAAGTGAGCCTGGCCAGACCCCGTCAGTGATGCAGTGCCAGGGCAGGAGGGGACAGCATCTTGCTCCCAGGAGGGTGCGGTCTGGGCAGGAGTCCCAGAGCCATCATGTGTTTGGAAGGCAGCTCTGCACCAGCCAAGGGACAGGAAAGCCCTCCCGCCTCCAGGGAGGTGTGTGCAGCTTTGCCAGTGCCTCTCTCCCAGGGCCATTGCCAGGTCCCGGGATGAGCAAGACTGGGCAGCCCAGGCAGGTCCTGTAGACAGCAGGGGCTGGGCTCGGGGCCAGGGACCGGGACTGGGAAGGGATGCCTGGTAGCCAGTGAGGAACCAGGTACACAACTTGGAAAGAAATGCTTTATTTTTAGTTTCAACAGGTAGGGCAATACCTACCTCATCATGTGCTTTTATGCAAATGCCAAATAGCAAAATAACAGCTAGAAAATAAATCGTTTGTCAGTTTGGAGATCAGGTCCTTTATCTATCAAGTGTCATCTTTCCTGGAATTCAGCTGGGCTTAAGAGTAGTAAAGTATCGGGAAATGCTATAGAGAGCCAGTCTCCAGCTGCAGGATGGTGGGCCTGGCACTGACCGAATGTGGGTGGCTCAAAGCACGGGGCGGTGCAGGCGCCGTTTCTGCATTGCCTGCAGCCTCTTCTGCCGCTCAGCAAAGTTGTTCTTCAGGGTCTGCTTCAGTGCAGGCAAGATGGCACGCTCCGCTACAGGCATGGGGCTCAGAAGCAGGCTGGGGTGGGTAGAGGGACTGTCTCCGTGAGCATCCCCAGGAGAGGAGTGTGCTGGGGGTGGGGCCTGCGTGGCTCTCACAGGGCCCAGTGAAGCCTCAGCACGCTGTGCTACTGCGCTGCTGCCCTCCCTCCTCCACTCCTTCCCTGGGGCCCAGGCTGCCCCACTCTCCCCATGCCTGCAGGACTCACCATTTCTTGGGGAGGCTCTTGGTGGAGACCTTGGGGAACTGCATGGCTTCCTGGTCCCTGGGTGAAGGAGGAGTCAGCAGTGAGACCCAGACAGGCCCCCAGGGATGAGGTAGGGGTGCACCTGGCACTCACCTGGGAGAGCTAGACCCAGCCTCCTCTGGGACCACCTGGGGCCTCTGGCTCCCTTCCAGGAGGGACTTGAGATGCTGCAGCTAAAAGGCAGGGGCAGGGGCAGTGGCATGGTGGGACCTGCAGCGGTGCCAGACTGCCCAGGGCTAACCCCTCCACGCAGGGCCTCACCTCTTGGGCCTGCAGGAGGTTGGCATTCCACAGCTGGCGGATGAGCACTTCGCACTGCTGAAGGGTGGTGGGCTTTCGCAGGTAAGGGGGAAGAGTCATCGGGGGGTACACCCCCATCATCTGCCTGCCCTGGTGCTGGCTGCCCCCTGCACAGGCAGCCCCTGCGTGAGAGGCCTCTGCCTTCTCGTCTCTGAAACAGTCATTGCAGCAGCCAGAGGTGACCTGCCCAGGTGCATCTAACCACACTCCCAGCCTACCTCCCCAGGCAGCACCCAGGCCAGTGTGGGGAAGAGGGCCTGCCTCCCTTCTCCCACTGACCAGGGTGCTCTGGGCACCAGGTGAGAGTCTCTGGGACTGGGACCTGCCCCTTCCTCCCTCTGAAGGTGCCCTAGGGTCATGTGTGCTTCAGTGGGTGCCCAGCTAGCTGCCAGGCTGTCCTTGGTTGTGACCCAGTGGGGCTTCTTGCTCCAGGCCTGGTCTCAGGGGACATGCAGAGATGCAGAAGCCTGCCATGCATGCTGCTTGCACTGCTGAAAGTGTGCGCTCGCAGCATCCCAGGGCAGTCCTGAAAACTCAGGGACCACCAGATCCCGGCCCAGCTCTGTCCTGCTGGCCTAGTGCCCCCCAAAGGCAGGCTGTGGCCAGGGCGGCAGGCAGTGACCAGCTCTGGGAACACAAGTCACTTTTCTTGGTAAGAATATTTGTTTTCTTTTGTCTGAGAAAGTGGGTGAGGGCTGCTGCTGGCCCCTCTTTTGGGCTCAGGTCAGCCGGATACTCTGCATGATCCCCAGGAGAGGGAGGAAGACAACACCCACCGATGGGCAAAGCGTGGCCATCATTTGGTTTCATGAGCCCTGGAGACCGGCCCCTGGAGCAAGGGCAGAGCAGTTGTATGACTGCAGGGCATGAGCCTAGTAAATGTAGTCCTGGGCCCTTAGGGGGCAGGCAAGCCTTACTTGGCCTGCCCTTGCACCCCAGGAACCTTGTCCAGCTTGCTGTGGTGAAGTAAGGGCTCCTCTTCCAGGTCCACTTTCTGGGGGACATCAGCTTTCAAGTCTTGCTTCTTGAAGGAGCTGGGCTGGGGCCTGGCCTTGCCTTGAGAGTTGGCTGCAAGTCAGACCCGACAGGGCCAGTCACTGCAGGCACTAACAGCTGCTGCCCACACCTTCCAGGAGGAGCTGCATGTACCCAAGAAGCCCCAGCCCCTGCCCCAGGCTCCTCCTCTGTAAAGGGAAGCCTAAGGAGCGTTCTGGGAGGAATAAATGAGGTTCTGAGGGTGAAGCCCATGGGTGCTGCCTGTGAACACTCTGGAACAATCGAAAGTGGAAGCTGGCTCCATTCTGGGTAAAAGAAAACTTCAGGAGAGGCCTAGGGCCCAGGCTGCACAGTTTTTCCCTTCAAGGACAAGGCCCATCACACACCTGAGCCCATCACAGGAATGGTGGGAGCTAGGGCTGGGGCTGAGGAAGATGCCCGGCCTCCAGTGGAGGCAGAGTGGGGAGAAGAGGCTCTCTGCTCCCTGCTCACTCTGCAGAAGGTGCCATGAGCACAGGGCTCTGTGGGCAATGCCATCCTTCCTGCATTCTGCTGGCTTGTGGTGGGGACATGGGCCAAGCAGGGCTTCTGCAGGGCAGCTAGGGCACATCCTTCTCCCGAGAAGGCCACCCAAGGAGGCCCTCCTGACCACTTGCTGCCCCTGCCTGGGCCTCACTGCCCTCTGTGACTGGCCCCAGTCCTGCCCACCCCACCAGTCCCCTCCTGGTGGTTTCAGCTTGCAGGGCTCCCTTCAGCTGCCCCTTCAACCCCAAATCCTTGAGCTTGGCCCAGCGGAGGGCTTTCAGCTCCCTGGTCAGCACCCCTAGGGGTTACCCAGGCTGGAGTCCCCGTGGGGCACTTGCCTCTGTGAGCACATGGAGGATGCTAGCCTACTCACCTGGCACAGTGGAATTTGACATAGACTTGACAGATTGGAAGCTTGACATGGAGAGGCTGCCTGCGGGAGAGTGCACAGGGTCGGCACTGCCGCCCGCAAGATGCCCATGCTTGCCTCCTGGCCCATGTGTCTGGTAGGAGCCCTCCCTCAGCCTGGCAGGGCTGTGTCCTCCCTGCTATACCCACATCCGTTGACGCAATCCCAGACCCAGCAAGCACCCACTGGAAAGGTGGTTTCCTGAAGGGCCATCTGGAAAGCAGAAGGGCTTGGGACACATGGAACACCAGGCCCCGAGGGAGAGCATGGCCTCTTTCTGTATCCCCAGCACTGCATGACTGGTGCTGCCAACTGGGCCACACTTTGCCCAGACCAGCTCACTGAAGTTGCCACAGCGGCTTGGGAAAGGCCCTCATTCAACCCCATTCTCCATGTCTCCCCAGATGGGAGAGCCCTGGGCACTGCCCCAGCTGGGATGTTCCCAGGCTGGCGCCATTCACCAGTCAGATGTCCTCCTAATAGCCCCCGCCCCAAAGGTAATGGAGTGAGCTCAAGACCTCAACCCAGAATCCTAGGGTGGGTGGGGGACACCATTGGGATGGGGAAGTGCCTTGGGCAAGTGGCAAGGAAGCAGAACTCTGCTTCCTCCCCTCATCCCCATGGTTGCTGCCCAGATGGCAGGAAAGGATCCCTGGATGGTGTGTGCCCAGAGCCCCTCCCCCAGGATGTCAGGACTCAGAGCCACTGCACTGGAAATCCTGAGCCTGGCCACAGTAGCAATCTGGGGCAAAGACACAGTGGGGCACGGGTTGCCCCAGGTGTCCCCTCCCATTCCAGGAGCTCTGTTCGGAGGAGGGAGGGTCTGGGAAGCACGCTGGGCCAGCTCCCCCCTGCACTGACCTCAGGCCCTCGACTCACTGAGAGCAGCACCTGCTGTGCTTGGCTACGTAACATCACCCAGCCATGGCTAGGGGCAGTAGCATCTGTCCAGGTCCCCCAGAACCTGTCCCCACTGGGTTGGCACACAGGGGCCAGTGCAGCCAGGTAGGCAAGGACAGTCTGGAGGGGCTTCCCTGGGCGGCAGGAGCCTCCCCTCAGGCACTGAAGGGCCCAAGTCTCACCTTTCTTCTGTAACTTCTGATTCATTATGAGCTTGTAATGGAGCTCTGAAAGCAAGCACATGCTGTCCTCAGCACTTGTGAAGCCACAGCCATTCCGGGAGAAGAAGCCTGACCTGTCCTATCCCCTTGCTGAGCCCGGGAGTCCTGGCTCCCCACTAGCTGGCTGGGCCCTGCCCCAAGGGTCCTGCTCTCCACCACGCCTTTTCAGTGAGTGTCAGGCCAGCAATGCCCCTGCCTGTTCCCTAGGCAGAGTCCACCGGGCACATCAGCCTCATTCTGCCATCTGAGATGACTACAGGGCATCCACGCTGCTGGGATCCTGGGGTACAGAGGTGAGCTCCGGAACCCCTAGCGTGGATGAGCAAATGCGGTGTCATGATCCCGTGGGTGTCAGGGACTGAGGTGAGGCTCAGAAGGGGGGTCCTGACATAGACGCCTGGAGTTATAAGGCAGCAGCAGGGAGTGGGGCAGGAGAGGAGGCCGCAGGCACTGGTGCCCTTGCTGGAGCCCTCCTGAAGCAGGAGCCAGGAGCGGAGCCAGGAGCGGCCCACATCCTGGCGAGCCCTCTTTCTTCTCGGGCGGGCCATGGGGGTGAGGAGCTGCTAAGAGTGCAGCTGGGAAGGTGCAGCCCAAGGACAGCGTGGGCACAGGCTAAGCAGGGGCACGCATGCCCGGACCCTGTGTGTTTAGGTGGAGGACATCCACTGCGCTGCGCGCTGGCGCTTGAGCACGCTTCCCCTCTACAAAGTTTTTAACAAAGGTACGCCTGACCCTGGTGGAGAGCAAAGGGCTGGCGGGGTCAGCGTCTGAAATGTAGCGGCCCCACGAGGCAGGCAGACAGGGAGGGCACTGCCCGGGGGGTCACGCGAGTCTCCGTCCGGGGGCGGGGGACAGCTCAGCGTGGCAGCACGCAGCGTGGGCTTGTGCCCTGTGTGTCCCCAGGCGTGTGCTGGAGTTCATGGCTGTGCTTCTGTGCTGCGGGAGCCGCAGCGTTCAGGGCGCCTGGGGAGGCAGGGCCGGCCTAGGGCCCCGCGCAGGCTCACCCTTGTTCTCCCGCTTCAGGTGCTCGATCTCCTCGTGGAGCTTGACCAGCGTCTCCGAGTGCTGCTGCTGCAGGAACTGCAGGCTCTTCTCCAGGACCAGGACCCGCTTCTGCGGGTCGCTCTGCACCAGCTGCGGGCTCGGCGGCCCCAGGGACTGGACGCACACGGCCGGGCGCTGGCGCCGGCGCCACGTGACCCGCGAGCCTGGGGTCGGCGAGCTGGGGGGCCGCGACCCGGCCGCCACCCCCGCGCCGATCATATTGCCATCCCCACGCACCCTGCCTCTGCCACCGCACCCCCGGCTCAACTGCCAGGCCGCCCGGCCCGGGCCCCGTCACCATGGAAACGGGCGCCACCGAGGGGGCGGGGCGGGCGGCGGGGGCGGGGCCTGTGGCTGGTTCTTCCTGAGTGAGCAGGGATTTAAAGGCATCCAGGGCCCGGAGCGGTGGCTCAGGCCTGTCATCCCAGCACTTCCGGAGGCCGACGCGGGGATCGCTTGAGGTCAGGAGTTCGTGACCAGCCTGACCAACTTGGCAAAACGCTGTCTCTACCAAAAGTACAAAAGTTAGCCGGGTGTGTTGGTGCGCGCCTGTGATCTCAGCTACTGGGGAGGCTGAGGCAGAAGAATAGCTTGAACCGGGAGGCAGAGGTTGCAGGGAGCCGAGATCGCACCGCTGCACTCCAGCCTGGGCGACAGAGCGAGACTAAAAATAATAATAATAATAGTAATAACAAAAGGCATCCAGGCATCCTCTCCAGCCTAGGCAACATAGTGAGACCCCATCTCTATAAAAACTGACAGAAAATCCAGACATGGGTGGCTAGCGCCTGTAGTCCCAACTACTCGGGTGGCTGAGGTGGGAGGATCGCTTGGGGTCAGGAACTCCAGACCAGCCTGGCCAACATGGTGAAACCCCATCTCTACTAAAATATACAAAAGTTCACTAGTGTAGTGGCACGCACATGTAATTCCAGTTACTTGGGAGGCTGAGGTGGGAGGATCTCTTGAACCCAGGAGGCGGAGGTTGCAGTGAACCAAGATCACAGCACTGCCCTTAAGCCTGGGTGACAGAGCAAGACTCCATCTTAAAAAGAAAGAAAGAAAGAAAAGGAAAAGAAAATGTGAGAAGTTGCCTGGGCACAGTGGCTCACACCTGTAATCCCAACACTTTAGGAGGACAAGGTGGGCAAATCACTTGAGGTCAGGAGTTCGAGACCAGCCTAGGCAACATGGCAAAAACCCATCTCTACTAAAAATACAAAACTTAGCCAGGTGTGGTGGTGGATGCTTGTAATTCCAGCTACTCAGGAGGCTGAGGCCAAAGAATCGCTTCAACCCAGGAGGTGAAGTTTGCAGTGAGCTGAGACCCTACCACTACACTCCATCTCGAGCAACAGAGTGAGACTCCATCTCAAAAAAAAAAAAAAAAGAAAAAAAAAACTAAGTAAAAACACAACAGAAACGAAAAGTCAGATGCATGGCTCATACCTGTAATCCCAGCACTTTGAGAGGCCAAAGCAGGAGGACCACTTGAGCTCAAGAGTTGGAGACCAGCCTGGGCAATATAGGGAGACCCTGTCTCTACAAAAAACTAAAGCTGCCAGCATGGTGGTGCACACCTGCAGCTACTCAGGAGGCTGAGACTGCAGTGAGCCATGATTGCACCACTGCACTCCAGCCTGGGTAACAGAGAGAGACCCTGTCTCAAAAAAAAAACAAGGAAAATGATTAGGAAATTTGGATCTAAAAAAAGGGAAGTGCATCAGAGAACGAATAAATGAAGATAAAATATAATCTTGTATTGTTCTTACTTTTAACAGATGACAGATTGTTCAGAATAATTATAGCAACACGTATTCAGTAATTATGGCTTATGGATGGCTGGAATGAGCAGCAGCAATGTTATTGCTGGGAGGGAGGATCTCCTAAGAGTAAAGAGAAAGTCGCTCAGGCTGGAGTGCAGTGGCAAGATTATAGCTCACTTGCAACCTGGAACTCTTAGGCTCAAGCCGTCTTCCTGCCTCAGCTTCCCTAGTAACTGGGATTGCAGGCACACACCACCATGCCTGGCTAATTTTTTTTTTTTTGTCTTGCTATGTTGCCCAGGCTGGTCTCAAACTCCTGGGCTCAAGCAATCCTTCTACCTCAGCCTCCCAAAGTGTTGAAATTATAGGTATGAGCTTTTGTGCCTGGCATATGGTTGCTTTTGAATGTCCTAGTCCTAAATATCTGGCTCCCAAGAAGAGAGAAAAATGAAGGCAGGAGGAGGTGCTGATCCATAAAAACCTCCTGGAAGGTGTGTCCCCAGGGAGGGGGTGAGGGCTGAGAAGGGAGGTTGCAAACATGGCAGTGGAGATTGCAGTGGTGGCTGCCTGCTTCATTGTCTGCACTTCACCATCAGAAGCAGCCATCACGGATCAGAGAACAGGTCCCCAGTATTTGGAGGAAAGGCTCTTAATTGCCCGCTCTGGTTCCGGCAAGCTATAGGGAAGCTACTCGAGAAATGTATGCATGGCTGCTTGCAACACTAATTTAAATGCTAATTTCCTCTGAAAACACCCTCACCGACACACCCAGAAATAATGTGTAACCAGATATGTGTGCATCCAGTGGCCCAGACAAGTTGACATATAGAATTAACCATCACAAGTCCACCCCTTGTCAACCTGGCACCCATACACATCTCTTTAAACCATGCTTAACTTCCCAATAAATGCAATAACAAAGCCGTAGTGTTAGCAGTGGAAGGTGTCCAAGTGCAGTGAATCCGGATGGGTCTGCAGCAACTTCAGTTCTTGGTTCCTCAGAAGAAGGAATTTGACTGAGGGGCATGAGGCAGAAAAAGAGACCAAAGCAAGTTTCAGAGCAGGAGTGGAGGTTTATTTAAAAGGCTTTAGAACAAGAAGAAAGGAAAGTTTGCTTGGAAGAGACCTAAGCAGGCACGTGAAGATCAGGTGCCGTGTTTAACCTTGATCCTACTAGACCCTTTTCCATGATCCTTCCCTTAGGGTGGGCTGCCCACATGCACAGTGCCCTCCTCACCCTTGGGAGGGGAAGGCACGCAGTGTGTTTAGGAAACTGTATGCATGCCCATCTGAAGGTCATACTCTGCCACTTTGTCTCTTCAATGCACATGTCCTGGAAGTTGCTTCTCCCTGAAATCTGCATTCAGTTAACACTTTAGTGAAACAGGTGTGGCCCGTCAGGAAATGGCCTCTCCCTGGTGCCAGCTGCCAATTTGTCACTTTTATTATTTTTTCCTTTTTTATTTTTTGAGGAGACACACTCTGTCACCCAAGCTGGAGTGCAGTGGTGCCATCTTGGCTCACTGCAACCTCTGCATCCCAGGTTCAAGTGATTCTCCTGCCTCAGCCTCCCAAATAACTGGGATTAGAGGCATGTGCCACCACACTGGCTAATTTTTATATTTTTAGTAGAGATGGGATTTCACCATGTTGGCCAGCCTGGTCTCAACCTCCTGACGTCAAGTGATCTTCCTGCCTCAGCCTCCTAAAGTGTTGAGATTATAGGCGTGAGCCACTGCGCCTGGCCAAAAGGAGAAATTCTTGATTGGGAAACAATTTGATCTATTTTGGCCCCTTGCCACTTAAGAAAATTATGCAAGAATTCTGATGTTGTAAGTCAAGGGAAGCTAGCTTAATTTTTACAGTGAGTCCTCTCTCCGGTGTGGTGGCTCACACCTGCAACCTTAGCACTTCAGGATGCAGAGGCAGGCGGATCACTGTAGCTCACGAGTTCAAGACCAGCCTGGCAACATAGTGAGACCCCGTTTCCACAAAAAAATTTAAAAAATGGCAGGGTGTGGTGGCGTGTGGCTGTAGTCCTGGCTACTTGGGATGCTGAGGTGGGAGGATTGCTTAAGTCCAGGAGTTAGAGGCTGCAGTGAGCCGTGATGATGCAGTGTACTCCAGCACAGACAACATAGCAAGACCTTGTCTCAGAAAAATACGTAGTCCTCTTTCATTTATATTGGAAATGTCAGAGTTGTTGGTGAGAGCTGGCCTTTAGGGGATCTTGCTCTTGTATGTTCAAGGGGAAAGGTATAGATTTCTCCTGATCGCACAGAGCCTCTGCTTGTGGGTTGCCTGCACAAGATGATCAGAATCTGAGTCACCTTGAATCATGGGGGCACTGGTACATCCTAGAGGTAGCAGGTGTTGGTCATGGAAGAAAGTGGGCCATGAATGGGCTCTGGGGAATAGCATTACCTGGGGAGCAAGGAGGGGGATGTGGAGGTGCAGGTGGCAAGGGTGGTGTCAGGCGAGCCTGAAGCTCCACTGCCAGAGGCTCCAGGCCACGTGGTCTGAGAAGCATCTGGATTTGGCCTGTTAACAGCAGCGAAATGTGGCCCAATGGCAAAAAGTCGAGGACATCCTAGTGCTTGAAGAGGCAGCGGCAGCGGCAGCAGTTAGGATAAACCACTCTGGAGGCATCCCGGGGTGGAGAGATGAGGACGTAGGAGCTCCTGCCTCCAGCCTGGCCTCCACCCTAGATGCTCCTCCGAGAGCTTCCACCTCCTGTGCCTGTCAGAACTGCTTCCCCTGAGTTGCTCCAACTCCAGGCCTTCCCCAGAAGTTACCCCGACCAAGTGCCTCCTGGCCAGGGACCACCCACTGCATTTTGCTTCTGCTCTCGTTCCAGCAATCCCATTTTCTCTGCAGTGAGAGCGCTTGGCAAAATTTAAATCCCATTTTGTTGGCGAAGTCCCTATCCACTACCTGGAAGCGGCTGGAACCCACTGCCTGCTGCTGCCCTTGCTCCCCAGGCAGGAGCCACTGAGCGCCAGATGCTCTTGCAGCCATTGCTGTCCAGGTCTCAGCCACCAAGACCCTGCCCGCTAACTGAGCTTTGCTGTTCTTGGCTCTCAGTACGTTGTGTCTGCCCCCACTCCTGGACAGTTCATTCCCCCAGCCACTCCCTCAATCCTTGGAGCTTCTGGAAGCCACAGACATGGCAGCATATGTTCCAGGTGGTCAGCTTTTGAGACAGGGCTTCACTCTGTCACCCAGGCTCCAGTGCAGTGGTGTGATGATGGCTCACTGCAGCCTTGACCTCCTGAGCCCTGGTGATCCTCCCACCTCAGCCTCCCAAGTAGCTGGGGCCACAAATGTGAGCCACCATGCCTAACTTTTTGAATATTTTGTAGAGACGGGCTCTTGCTATGTTGCCCAGGCTGGGCTTAAACTCCTGGGCTCAAGTTATCTTCCCTGCCTTGGTCTCCCAAAGTGCTGGGATTACAGGTGTGAGCCACTGGGCCTAGCCCCAGCCGGCTTTTCATAAGGCCAACATTGATGCTGAGCAGAAGGTAAAAGTCGCATGGCTCAGACCCAGCAGGGACTTTCTGTCACAGGTACTTCAGTATTAACATGCACCTTGGTTTTGCCGCTGTCGATTCTATTGTGTCCCTGAACAAGGAAAGCAAAGGAAGCCAGAGGCCTAGGCCTGTGGACACTGGGGAGAGGGGCCGACAGGGTGCCTGATGGCGGTTTCTGCAACCCCCCGCATGCTCAGGGACCCTCTGGGGTGAACCTCCTGGAGACTGAGCCCAGGTGCCAGAAGAGTCAGAAGCAAGGACAAGTTTATTCAGATCGAGTTACAAGCTTGGTTTGATTTTTGGTCACAAGTCCTAAAATGCCATTATTCTGAGTTTACATCAAAATACAAAGCCCAAGATTTACAGTTTGAAAAACATTAAAGCAAACCCCCACCACCCCACACCAAAAACAAAGGCTTGGTTTGAAAATCACCACCAAGATGCTGTTCTCCCTGGCGTGTCTGTGGGGAATGAAGGTGTGGGAGACCCCATGCTGGTTTCTGTCAGAGAATCTGTAGTTTTAAATACTTAAGTATCATTAAACGGTTGCTGTGTCTTTGAGTACTTGATGTTAGTGAAGCTGCGATGCTTCTGATCATCTTTGGCTGCAGAGCAGAAACTGGCAGGATTTGACCCCATCAACCCAGCAGTGTCCCCAGCACCTGAGGACCAGCACCCGTCTGTGACAAGGCACGGGCTGGCTGCTGCTCTGGGTGATGTGCTCGATGGACTGCGGTCTGCAGTGAAGCACCCGGGCTCGGGAGAATCTCAGGCTCCTGAAACATGAAATTCTATGGGCCAGTCTTGGAACAGCTAGGAGAACATGAAGAATGCCCCTCACTCACAGTGAAGAATCAGAGAGCCACTCTCTCTTTTTTTGCATCTGATGTGTAAGCAGAGAACCACTCTCTAGTGTTTTCAGAGCTCTTTTAGAAACTTTGATTCTTCCCTGGAGTGGAGGCTGAGCCACCATACTGGTCCCACACAGGAAGAAGAGGCACCACAACCCACTCTGCCCACCTCAAGGCCAGCCAGTGGGCAAGCCAAGCCTGAGTGGCTGCTGGCACACTGGCTCCTGAGCTTGATGCAGCAGAGTACCCAAATGGACACTGGAAAAAAGTTCCTGAGAGCTGGCTTGGCGATGAGTCCTTGGTGGAGGGAGGGAGGAGCCGGCGCTGAGCTCTGTGCCGTCTGCCACAGAGCATGGCTGTTGAGCCCAGTAGCTGCTGCTTCTTTGCTTCACCCTGCCTGCCCTCCCTTCTCAGTTCTGTTTCCTCCAGATGCCTCTGTGGCTGCAGGAAACACCCCCAAGAAACCAGAGGATGACCATATTCCCTCCTGGAGGAGTTCTCAGTCCTCTCAGGCCAAGGGTGGGGCTGTGTGGCAAATCCCCCCATGCTCTGAAGGCAGCTGGCGCCCTCAGGGCTGGTGCAGCTTCCCCCGCTCTGTCAGCAGCGTCATGGCTGAGGCGTAGAGGATGTAGCCCAGGGCGAGCAGCAGCGCACAGGGGAGGGGCCCAATGCAGAACAGGGAGGCCACAAAGAAGGCCAGCAGCAGTGAAAGCAGTGTTCGGTAGCTGCCCAGGAAGCGCAGGCTGAGCCTGGGGCCGCGGGCATGGCCGGCCACCTGCGTCTGCCCTACGGGGCTCAGCAGGTGCCTGCTGGCCACCCCAGGTTCTGTCAGGTGGTAGCGACAGAAGCTACCGAGGAAGTCGTCCCGGGAACACAGGGCCACCATCTGGCCTGCAAACTGAAGCACAAACAGAGGCACGGTGGCATGGGGAGGTGGCACCACAGGCCTCAGGACAGCAGCGCCCCACCCCCACAGGCCACCCCGGGACTGCATCCCAAGCAGGAGCATCCAGAACCCTCTCTGAAGAGGCCAGGCCGGCCTTCCTGCCCACTCACTCTGTGGTTGATGGCAGACGACAGCCTGAAGAGTGCACGGACCAAGCTGGCGATCTCATAGCTCCGGATGGGCTGCAGCTCCGGGTCTCCCTGGTACTCAATTTCAAACCTGCGCAGCCCGTTGATGATCTAGAAACCCAGGCCATGGGGATGGGTCAGAAAACACAGCCTTGCACACAACTCAGAGGCGCCGAGTGGCCTCTGCTCATGGGGGAGGAGGGAGCTGGGGATGGGTCAGGGGCCAGTCCACACACCTCTGGGACCCCGACCTCTCACCTGGTACCGGCCCAGGGGCGTGAGGATGAGTCCGTCCTCACCCACGATGCAGTCAGGCAGCTGCTTCTTTCCATTCTCATCCTGCGTGGTGCCCAAGGCGAGTGTGAACTGCCGGAGCTGCGCATCGCTGAGCTGCCAGAGAGAAGCGCCTCTGCCCTCAGCGTCAAGATGAAAGGAGGGAACTGGTCTTCACCCCACTGGCTTCGAACAGTGGCAACAAGGGGACCCAGACATGACGTTTGGGGTGTGGGCCTGTCTCCCACAACACTGGGTCCAACTGTGTGGTGCCTGGGACTTGGTATGTGGCTGACCACGGGCTGGGGGCAGTGACTCCTGTGGGGAAGGGGATCCCGATGGCTGTGGGACAGGCCCCATAGCTCATACCCTGAATATCTGACGCAGGTACTCCAGGGCCTTCTCCAGGTATTCGTCCGTCTTCCGGACGCTGTCCTGCCCCATCTCATCCAGGTCATTGGCTGGGTAGGAGCCATTGGTGTCTGTGGGGCCAAAGCCCAGCCACGACAGGAAGGAGTAGCCAGCTGGGCTCTCCACACACTGATCTGAGATGGACTTGGCCGTGTGCTTGGCCTGCGTGATGAGCTGAGCGAGGCGCAGGACCTACAAGGGAGGTGGGGGCAGGTCACCGGCAGGACAGGCCTGTGCTACCATCCAGGCAAGCCGGCCGGGGGCCCCAAGAACGATGCACAGCCAGACCTCTGAGCGCCAGGAGGAGCAGCTTCCACTAGAGGACTTTTAAAGACCAAAGGATGTTCTTCTAAATGTGAAATTTCCCCACAAACACTGCCTTTGTTATCAGGAAAAAAGGAGACTTTACTGAAATGGTGGAAGGGGATGCGGCATCAACTCTACACCCAGCCTCCCTCCTTCCCGCCGGAACCAGCACCTCCCGGGCTCTGCTCAGCCCCATGGCTCCAGGGGTCCTGAGGACAGGCCCCGCCGATCCACTCACCAGGGTGCGGGCCTCGGGCCCGAACATTGGGGTGTACTTGCAGTCCTGGCCCTCCAGGCTGTAAACGTGGCTCTTCACCTTGAAGGAGGCATCAGTGACTGCTGGTGGCCACGGTGACAGGAAGCTGCCAGTGAATGTGGGGGCCGTGAAGAGTCGGTGCTGGCGGTGGGGGATAACCAGCTCTGGCTCCAGGAACAGCTGCTCACCTGGAAGGCAGGAGATGAACTGGTGCCCATTTCCAGGGCACAGAGTACCCACTGCTGCCGTTAGGATTCTGGGGTGTCTGTGAGGTGTCTGGGGAGCCATGATCCAGAGGTGTTCTCCTGAGGCCCTGCCTGGCAGCATCTCCCACACAGTAGGCGGCTGACGCAAGCCCCCAGCAGTGTTTGTAGGAGGCAAACACCAGACGGAGCAACAGAAACCAACACCCAACCCAGCCAGGATAAATGCATGGCAGAGACCAGGCTCACCTCCTGAGATGGCCGCCACGAGTCACCTTGGAGAAATGGTGGGGCCACGGGGCCACAGCTTGGACTGTGCAGCCCCCCTCTGTCGGCACACCTGTGGTCCCCTGCCTAGTGCCTGGTGGCTGCAGGGCAGGCAGCGTTCAGCCAGTCTGACTTCACTGCATAGATGTGCCCCAGGAGTCTCCATAGCATCCTTTATCAGGGCCCACTCTAGAAGCGTGGGTCCCTCTTAAAGGGCAGCCACCACCAGCTAAGGGCCTGACCCTGCTCTGTCCGGCTGCCCCATGCTGAGGACTTACCTTTCTGGATCATCTCAGCCAGGTTGGGCTGGGCAAAGACTTTAGCCACTCGGAACACCATGAGTGCATGCTTGGGGCTGACCAGGTCTGTGCGGAGCGCGCGGTTCAGGAAGCCCACGAACAGCTTGGTGTACATCAGCAGGTTCTCCTGGACAAAGGGTGCCCTGGGGACCGAGGTGGCAGGTAGGGGTCAGCTTTCCCAATGGAGGTGGGGCTGCAGCAGTCCATGCCCCTAACGCCCCTGCTTGTCCTTTGGCTTACAGACTCTCCCTGGCCAAGGTGACAAGCTGTCATAGAGGACAGCTGAGGGGGCCATGGGTGGGCAGGGCGGAGGCAGGTGAGATCCAGGCCCTCTGAGGACACTGTGTTCTTAGCAAGGCTGCGGCCCATTCCAAGTGGACTGAGACCACCACGGCAGAGGCCCGCCCAGAGCCTGAGGGAAGGGCCCCCAGAGGATTCAAAGGGGAAGGCCTTGGGCAAGGAGGGGAGAGGCCAGTGGCCACACCAGGTGCCACGGAGGCCTGGGGTCTGCTGTCAGGATCAAGCAGGGGCTGGGGGAAGGCAGCCACAGCTCTCCTCTGTGCTGGTGAGGAACGGTCAACAAGGGATGGTTTGGGATCACTGTGAACATTCGTCTGGGCCAGATGAGAGAAGGGACAGGGCAGGATGGGTCACCCACTGCTTCCATGAGAAATCAATTCTAGGGCCTGGCAAAGTTGAGCCTAGGAAAGGTTGGTCTGTGCTCCACTCGTCAGGGGCTGGGAGAGGAGCCCAGGAGGCCGCCAGGGCCAGGCTGACCACAGCACAGGCCGCTGGCTTGGCCTCCACCCACCGGAGCAACATCCACCGGGGGAGCCAGTGGCACCGAGGCTCACCATTTCTCCGACACACACCGGGGCTGGGAGTCGCTGCCCGGAGGCTGCTTGTCAGGCGCATACCGCCACGGCTGCAGGTAGCTCAGCCACATCTCCAGGACCTGTGAACGAGGTGTGTGCTGAGGGCCCAGTGGCTGGGGGCCAAATCCTCCAGTGGCTTGGAGCCTGGGTCCCAGGCAGCAGCTGGGTGGGACTGGCTCTGCCCATGTCCCCCAGAGGGCTGGAGAGAGATGCACACAGCCCAGTGAGGACTGGCTCTCTTGCTGGCCCTTCAGAAGCCAGGGTCATGGGCGAGCTTTTCCTAGCCCAGGGGGCCCAGTGCTCCGTGGTTAGATAATGGTAAGAACCTGTCTGGCACCAGACATATGGGAAGGGCAGGGCTTTCCTGAGGGCTGGCTTTGGAAACTGAAACAGAAAGAACAATGTGGCTTCCCAGGCCCCCTCCTTGCCAAGGCCTGTGACTACACTTGCTGTCTTCCTTCATCTGCCCCAGAGGACATCCCTCCTCGGGGCACACAGAGGACCCAGGCACAAATGTGACGGGGCCAACACTCACAGCTCTGAATGATGCATCCAGGGGCCAGTGGCCAAAGCAATGCTGCAGGAAGAGGTAGAGTTTCTGCTGGACGAACCTTGGGACAGCGGCCCTGCAGGGGATGGGGAGGGTCACCTGCCGCTTGCCCGGTAAGGAGGCCCTGCTCACAGATGAGCCTGAGGCTCCCATCAGCGAGGGTCGGCTCCACCCGGCACGTATGGGAAGCTTAGCCCCATTCTTCGGAGGAAGAAATAGAGGTTAAGAGAGGTCAGGGAATCTCCCAAGGACACACAGCACACAGGCAGCGAGTCAGTGTGGTTCTTGCACACACCTCACCTCAGTCCCACACAGACAGCCCCGGTGGGCCTGGGAGCCAGGGCAGCCCCAGCCCTTTTCCTGACAGGGGTGGGAGAAGCAAGAGACAACAGCATGGCAGGGTCTCTCTGGCCAGTATGGGGAGAGTGTGAAGGCATCTGCCTAGGCCTCCAGAGGCATCATGTGCTCTATGGGCAGGAAGGGACTCCCTTCATCCTGCCCCCCAATGCCCTGGGGAGAGGTCACGGTGGGTGACACCTGAGGAGGGAAAAGCAGAGGAGACAGCAGCGGCGGAAAGCCGCAAGGGCCACCCACCGTTTGAACTCCTCCAGGGGGCTGGTGGCATGAGAGTGGGCAGAGGGCGAGGCCTGCTCTGGCTTCAAGCTGTTGGCAAAGGCGTGCAGGTGTTTCAACAGCAAGCGCACCACCAGCACATGCTCCTCAGTGGGTGTGAATGACTCCTAGGTGGAGAAGCAGGGATCAGGATCAGGGAAGGGCCACAGCGCCCACAGCACTCGGCATCCAGGTCTGACCACATCCCACCCCGGGCCGGTTGCTCTGCTTCCCTACAGGAGGCATGAGCCAGTCCAGGAGTGGGGCCACCCCCTGGGGCCCACTGTGCCTGGCACCCAGAGGATGTGCCTTGCACTGCTTGGTCTGAACTACAACCAGCCTGTGGTAGGGAAGTGCTTGGCCCAGTACCCACACAGCCCACCCGGGGGAGGGCTTGCTAAGACAGACATATCTCCAGAGGGCCTCCCAGCCCTGCTTCTGAACTGCTGCATACCCACAGTGAGTAGCACAGGCCGCAGCCCACCAAGCGATGCCCTCGGGCACTGCTGCCTGCCTTGATCCTCAGGGCAGAAGGCTGGTGTCACCCCCAAGCTCTGGATCCAGGGTCTCCCACCTGCCTCCCAAGTGTGTGCAGAAAGCACATGGAACCCAGGCGAGGTGCCTCAGACCTGTACCCAGCATGTTAGGAGGCTGCGGTAGAAAGACTCCTAAGGCCAGAAATTCGAGATTAGCCTGGACAACATAGGGAGACCCTGACTCTACGAAAAATTTTAAAAAGTTCACTGGGCATGGTGGTGCACACCTATAGACCTAGTGACTCAGGAGGCTAGAGTGGGAGGATCGCTTGAGCCCAGGAGTTCAAGGCTGCAGTAAGCTAGGATCATGCCACTGCACTCCAACCTGGATGACAGAGTAAGACCTTATTCAAAAATAAGAATCCCATGGCTTTGCTTTCCTCCCCAATTCCTTCCACCTATTTCTTATTCTGGACACAGCCAGGTGAGGGCTTGGCCCATGAGAAGCCCCTGGCGTCACTTCCTCTGTTGCCCAGGGACCTGTGGTCAGGAAAACCCCAAGACAAAAGCAGTCAAGCATACAAGACCAAACTTTTTTTTTTTCTTGAGACAAGGTCTCCCTCTGTCACTCAGGCTGGAGCGCAGTGGCACGATCTCAGCTCACTGCAACCTCTGCCTCCCAGGTTCAAGTGCCTTAGCCACCCGAGTAGCTGGGACTACAAGTGTGCCCCACCACACCCAGCTAGTTTTTGTATTTTTAGTAGAGATGGGGTTTGATCATGATGGCCAGTCTGGTCTTGAACTCCTGACCTCAGGTGATCCACCCACCTTGGCCTCCCAAAATGCTGGGATTACAAGCCAAACTTTTGATTTGTAACAAAATCATGCACCAGCATAGGGCAATCGCATGGAACCGTCACAGGCTATTTTCCTACATTTGCTGAGCCAAACTTCTCCCTCAGCTCTGCACCCCTCCTGGGCCGCCATGTTCCCACATGGAGTCCCTGGTCACAGTCATACCTGCTTGCTTCTTAAGGATGTGTCCCCAAAGCCCCACATTTCCCACTGGGTCCAGCCTCACAGCACCTCAGCTCACACCGCCTGGGCCTCGCTGGTCACCCCTCCCACCATGGGGTTTGCCAGATGCGTCCTGGACACTGCCCTCCCTCTCTGGCCCAAGCCCTCAGGTCCCTCCTCTGCAGTGGCTCCTGTGGAGCAGGGGTGCCTCGGTGTGCTGTGGTCACCATCCCAGCCCACTGGCACACAGGGGCCAGCACGTTTTCTCATCTTGTGCTCAAATTCCCGTTCAATCACGTGTGCTCCTTCCCAGGTAAATGGGACAGATTCTGGCTGCGAGCACAGCTCGTCTCCTCAGGCTCTCCAAGATTTGTTAACGCTGACATCCCTGAGCCCCTACGGGTCTGAACTTAGCTTCACTGACCTCAAATCCATCCACATGCTTGTCATTTTTGCCTAGATATCCACAGCCTCTAAGAGGTTACCACCTATTATCATCTGCCTCTGGAGGTGTGCACAAGTGGCCAGGGCTCCCTGGTGAAGGCCAGGCCCTGGCCAGGTTGTTAAGGACTGACAGCCTCTGTGGGCTATAGGGCCAAGCCCCAGGTCATCCCCACCCCCCTGCCTCACACACAGGCTCTGAGTCATAGCACCTCCAGGCTGGGTGACAGTTCTGAACAAGGCAGAACCCACACTACCCGTAAGTCCCAGGCCTCTGTGTCTTCAGCTCCTTCTGAGTGCCAGACCCTGCAGGGTGTGGGTGAACCGGGCCACTGCAGAGGCCTGAGGACTCCAGCTCTTCAAACCAGGGCCAAGCACGGGCCTCCAACACTGGAGAGCTTGTGACACCTCCACTGACCGGCAGCCTGGCCAGCCAGGGCCACATGCCCACATGCCTCGTTCTGCCACACAGCCACCACCCCCACCCCCAACCAAGCTGGTCTGCAAAGCCAGGGGCTAGGCCAGGCTGGGGGCTGACCCCTGCCTCCCCCAACACAGGGGCTTCGTTCTGCCTGGAACTAGTCTCTGAGTCACCAGCGGCCGGCCCTGGCTGGCCCCCTGCTTTGCCAGACACAGACATGTACTCTGGGCAGGGGGAAGGGAACAAATGAGCGCAGCCAGTACTTGGTAGGCGTGGAGGGCCTGGAGGCTGGGTTGGGCGGGGCTGTAGAGGGCGCTGGAGACACTGAGTCGGTAGTGCAGAACCTCCAGCTGAGACAAGGAACAGAAAGAAGCCGGAAGGGGCAGAAGAGCAGAGGACAGGAGGATGGGGTGGGGAAGGGGGGGAGAGAGGACCGGACACGGGAAGGGCAAGCAGAGAGAGAAAGAGCAATGAGAATGAGCCCAGAAGTGAGGAGAAAAAACAAAAACAAAAGCACGGTCAGTGACAATCCAAACAATGGCAGTCCCAGCAGCTGCGGGCCAGCGCAGCTCCCCCCTCCGCAGTCAGGCCAGGGCTGTGGCCGCACTCTCCTCAGCCTTGGAGGCCCAGGCAAGTGGACCCTCCAGGTTACCTGGGTGGCCCCTCAATGTCACTGGGGCCTAAAGACCTCCCCAGCTCATTGGAAGGGCCCAACTCACTGCCCTTCCAGATGGGGCCCACTCTCCCCAGTGACTCTGAGGTCACACTGTGTGTGGTACATGCACACCAGAGCCCTCCAAGAGCCCAGGGCCCTCGCTGGGACATGCTCCCAGCCACCATGACCTCAAGGTCCTGAGGCTCAGAAAAACCAGTGGAGCATGTTCCAGGAGGAGGACTCTGCACAGAAAAGACACATTGACTGGATTTCCTGGGTTATCTTGAGAAATTTACCAAATTGGTATAAGACATGACCAATTCCTTTGTGTCTAGAACTCAATGTCCCCTCCATGAGTGGCTCTCTGAGAATGAGAACAGGTCCCCAGGGCTGGCACAGAGATGAGCACAGGCTCAGGCCACCACGCCCTGCTCTCCACACCTCACAGTCTGGAGGTCAGCTGAGGCGGTGTGCACATCAGTTCTGACTCCAGAAGGCAGCCTCTCCTACTGCACCAGGAACTCCTACCTCCAGATACAGTAGGCTCCCAAGGCGGGATCTGGCCACAGCCACACACACCCAGAGGCAGCAGGAACCTGAGGCTGAGCTGGCTCCTAGTCAGAACCCTCCAACCTACCGCCCTGCAGCACCACAGCCTGCCGAAGCACCCCTCAGCCCAGTGCAGCCAGAGCCAGCCTGGTACACATCCTGTCCTGCGAGCAGCATGCCCCCTGCCCAAGCAGCGCATCCAACGGACTCCACACAGGAGAGATCAGAACACATGCCAGACACCATGACACGTAGAGCAGCGCAGGGAGCTGTTGCCCTCCATAGCCTTCCTTGTGACAGACCTGAGGTTCAGGCAGGAATCAGACGCAATTCCCTAGTGTGGTCTCTGCCCTCGCCTGCAGGAACACAGTGGCCTGCAGCGCCATGGCCATGCTCACTGCCCACAGGGCCAATGGGGAGCAAGCATGTACCCTAGACTCGACCAGGGTGAGGAGGACGACCCCAGGAACCTCACTTCCTGCATCTGGAAATAAGGGCTGGCAGGGATGGGCAAGGATTTCTGTATGGCAGGTGCAGTACAGGCCCGGGCAAGTGGCAAGAAGCCTTGGGGACATGGACCTCCATAGCTGCCTTTCTCTGGCTCCCACCTACCCAGTTTTCTCGTGTTTTGCCTCAACTGCAAGAGGCGAACAGTGGAGCATCTCTGGGCCCTTGGTCCAACCACTGCAAGTCACTCTGAGCAGGGCCCACCCACCCCAAGGTCTGGCCAAGAGGAAGCAAATGTGGGGAAGAAGGAGACGACACCTCCTGCCCTCCACAGGAACAGCCTCCATCCTTCCCCTGGCCCATGAGGACACAGAGTCCTCACAGGCAACAGCCCGAAAGAGCCTCTCTGGCTGGCCCTTGAAAGCAGGTGTGCTTCCACTCGCTCAGAACGCAGAACAGAAACACAATGCAGTGCAGCGGCCCCTGCCCCTGCCAGGTCATGCCACATGCACGAGTGCTGAGTGAGCGTCCCAGAGCCCTGCGTGAGGAGCGGGCCTTGGCAACAACCAGGCCCCCAGGCACCGCCAGGCACATGCGGCAAGTCTGCTCTGGAACCAGGAAGGCACTGCAGGCTCTTTGTGACTCAGGAGGCCCAAGATGGGGTCCTCAGCTTTTCCCCATTCTCCTCCTATGTGATGCTGAGTGTGAGGAACTGGGGGATGCTATGCTCTAAGACGGCCTCCACACAGCAAAGCATCGGGCCATTGAACTGGCTGCAGAGAGCATGGCAGAAGCAGACCCACAGCTCTTCCCCAGAAGCCCTCAATAATTTTGTCAGCGACAAAGCCAAAGTTTCCCAAGCACACTGATGCACAGATGCTGTGGGCGCCAGACGACACGGCTCATCTCAGGTCGGGGCTCGGATGTGCGTGAGTTAAGCTGCTGCATGGAGGGTGACTGATTAGGAATCTAAGATCCATCCAGCCGCTTTCTCATTCTGACCAGTCCAGGGGGGTGCTAGCTCCAGGGACAGCAGGAGCAACCCAGGGCCTCTGCCACCTCCATGCATCTGCGAGCAGCATGCTGCTCAGAGACGGAGCAGGGAGAGGTAAGGAGGAGGCAGGCCAGGTCACATGCAGAAGGTCGCCAGGCCCCACCCACCAGGACTGCTTGCTCAAGCTCTGGAGGAGGTGGGTGAGTAGGGGGTGGGGGGGGCAAGCAAAGGATGCTCCAGGCCACCCCTTCATGGGAAAGCACAAAGGCACTGCTGATGGTCGAGCAAACAGATGAGAACATAGCTCCCAAAGGAACCGCAGCTCCCCCGCTCCCAGAGCAAGAGTACCACAACCTCATCTGTTCCTGCTGCCAGGGAGGGGGCTCATGAAGCTACACAGGGAGGGCCCTGGAGAGGCCAGACCTCCAGGCCTCAGGTGTCTACACATCAGGGTGCAACACCCTCTGTCCCCCACCAGGAACTAGAGAAAGATGTCCACCTTTTATTCGGCTTCTGAGTGACAGGTGGGTGATGGGTTTCTGCTTCCCACCATGCAGCCTGTGAAAACTCACTCAGAGGCAGGATAAGAACCAGCAGGCTGAGCAGGGTCAGCAGCAGGAGGTGGGAAGAAAAACTGTGCAAACATACCTTGGCGTGAGGGGACTGCATTTTTTGGTACATCTCCAAAGAATAGTGGTGAAGCCACATTTCAACAAAAACCTGCAAAAAAGCATTAGCTAGTCAAACCATTCTTGACAACGGTGCCAGACCATTCAGTGGGGAAAGGACAGTGTCTCCAACAAGCAGAGCTGGGAACACAGAATATCCACATGCACAACAGTGAAGCTGGGCCCTTCCCTCACACCCTCACCAAAAAATAACTCAAAGTGGGTATGACCTGAGGACAGAAACTAAAACCTTCGTTCTCAGAAGAAAACTTGGGAGAAAGCTTCATAACGCTGGATTTGGCAGTGATTAATTAGATATGACGCCCAAAGCACAGCAACTAGACTTCATCAAAATCAACACTCTTGAGCATCAAAAGATACTACTGGTAGAGTAAAAAGGCAACCAGCAGGCATGGTGGCTCAGCCTTGTCATCCCAGCGCTTTGAGAAGCTGAGGTGGATAGGCCGCTTGAGGCGGATAGACCACTTGAGGCCAGAAGTTCAAGACCAGCCTAGCCAACATAGTGAACATCTGTCTCTATAAAAAATAGAAAAATTAGCTGGGTGTGGTAGGGTACACCTCTAGTCCCAGCTACTTGGGAGTCTGAGGTGTGAGGACTGCTTGAGCCCAGGAGTTTGAGGCTGCAGTGAGCCGAGATTGCGCCACTGCACTCCAGCCTGGCAACAGAATTAGCCCTTTGAAGAAAAAAAAGCGCTGGGCGCAGTGGCTCATGCTTGTAATACCAGCACTTTGGGAGGCTGAGGTGGGTGGATCACCTGAGGTCAGGAGTTCGAGACCAGCCTGACCAACATGGAGAAACCCTCGTCTCTGCTAAAAATACAAAATTAGCCAGGTGTGGTGGCGCATGCCTATAATCCCAGCTTAGCTACTTTGGAGGCTGAGGCAGGATAATCACTTGAACCCAGGAGGCGGAGGTTGCAGTGAGCCAAGAACATGCCATTGCACATCAGCCTCAGCAACTCCTTCTCAAAGAAGGGTGAAACTCCGTCTCAAAAAAAAAGCAACTCAAGTGTCTACTGAGAGATGAATAAATAAACACAATGTGGTACATCCATACAATGGAACACTCTTCAGCCTTGAAAAGCAAGGAAATTCTGACACATGATACAACATCGATTAATCTTTAGTCCATTATGCTACGTGAAGCACACTAGTCACACACAAATAAGTACTGTGTGCTACAGATAAATACTCTAGGCATGAGATCTAGGAGTCAAATCCATAGGAACAGAAAGCAGAATTGTGGTTGCCAAGGCCTGGGTGGCGAACTGTTTAACGGTTTTTTTTTTTTTAAGTTAAAAGAGATGGAGTCTCACTTTGTTGGCCAGGCTGGTCTTGAACTCCTGGCCTCGACTAATCCTTCCCTGCTTGGCCTCTCAAAGCACTAAGATGACAGGTGTGAGGCCCCTGTGGCCGGGCTGATTTAGTTTCAGTTTTGCAAGATGAAAAACATTCTGGAGATTAGATGTACAACAATGTGAATGTATTTAACACTACTGACTGTACATTTCAAAATGGTTAAGACAGTAAATTTTAGGTCATGTATATTTTATAATTAAAATGTTCTTAATTAAAAAAATAAAAAGGGCCAAGTGCGGTGGCTCACACCCGTCATCCCAGCACTTTGGGAGGCTGAGGTAAGTGGGTCACTTGAGGTCTGGAGTTTGAGACCAGCCTGGCCAACATGGTGAAATCCTGTCTCTGTTAAAAATGCAAAAATTAGCTGAGTGTGGCAGCAGTTGTCTGTAATCCTAGCTACTCAGGAGGCTGTGGCAAGAGAATCACTTGAACCTGAGAGGTGGAGGTTGCAGTGAGCCAAGATTGTGCCACTACACTCCAGCCTGGGAAACAGAGGGAGACTCCATCTCAAAAAAAAAAAAAAACATCAATGCTTTGATCCAGGAAACAGCAGAACCTTCCAGTTCTGCCCTATAAGCCTGTTTCATGGTCTCCTGCCCTCTTCACGGCCAGCAGAGCCCACAGTCCACACAGCCAAGAGCCATCTGGGCACCATGGTCCCCTGTGTGAACAGGGGCAATGGTTCTTACGATTCCATCCCCCAAGGATGTTGTGAAATGGCGTGGAGACTTCAAAAACTGCAGCACCCCACATACCAGGAGTTATATACATGGTGGGAGATAAAATGCTATCTTATTTACATGACAGGTTGTCAACAGTGAGGCCGTGGCTATCAAGTCAACCCCAGGGTCCAGTGTCAGAAGCAGCGCCTGCCGAATCTCTCTGAGGTGTGCAGAGAAGACACAGCTGAGACTTGGGAGTTGGCCAGCACTCAGGATGCAAGCCAGCCCATACCATCCTGAGAGGCTGGAGCCTCTCTGGGCAGACAAAGGAATCTGTCAACTACTACTTGGATCCTCTGAATCAATGGGAGGCCTGTAGAGGCTGCACAGATCCCTCACCATTCAGTGTCATACAAATGCTACTGGGGCAGGGCTTAATATCCACATGACGGTAATCACAGGAAACACCTCCAACCACACGGTAGATGGAAACCAAAAGACTGCAACAATTATATTACCACAGGCAAAATGAAACAACTCCTATGGACAAGGGATCCTGGGATGAAAAACACCATCAATTAAATATAAGTTAGAAGGGTGGGCAGATTTATTTTCATGTTTTCTAAATGTCATAGAAGGAAAATACCAACAATTTAGATCAGCCCCAGGCCGAGGGGCCATCTCTGGGACTCTGTCCCACATAATGGAAAGTGGCTGAACAGTTTCTTTTTTTTTTTTTTTTTTTT